TTTCAAGAGCGTACAAACTGCTTGACAATATAATCTCCATAGGTTCCAGCATTATTACAAGTTTCTACGAAGTATGCAATGTGTTGCTTTGGATTTCCTTTAACATCAAATTGTTGAAATTTTGGAAGTTGATAACCTGCATGCATCTTCAAACTATCAATTCTCGTAGTATATGGCTTCGCATATGCGAGAGAAGACTTGGTAGCAACATCGTACTTATCTTTGATGGTTCTCATGATGAAGTCTTTCAATTGGTCAATGGGAATAACCCCGTTAGATAAAATATGAAGTTCTTTAGGAGTCATTGTTTGTTTTGCAGATGAGTCTCCTTTATCTTGCATCATAGGGAGTTTTCTAGGTGCATGACTTGAATCTCCCTCCATCATGCTTTTAACTCTATCTGTTAGCTTGACAATTTGATTATCTTGATCTTGCATATGCCTCGTTAACCCCTCAATTGCCTTTGTTAAATTTGTGAGTTGTTCTTCAATGGTTGAAGTGTTAGTCACCATTGCTTGGATAATCGTTGTGGATGGTGGAGCAAAGCATAAATTTTCCGGTATACCATACTTTGAGTGAAACAACTCACATGGAGTGATTGGAGCAGATCCAGTGATCAAGACATCATCTTCATCTTGTGTGATGAGATTCTTAGATCTAGATGGGCTAAGTAGAGCCAATGTCTTTTCAACAATTTCAGCAATGTTCGCTCCTTCTTCCAATTCAGTTGAAAAGGATCTTGCTCCCTTTGAGGATCGAAAATCAAAGATAGGAACTGATGCAGATAGCATTTGAAATGCTTGTTGTCCCAACAAGTTTGCTTTGTTCCTAGTGACATGTCCTACGCTTTCCATAGTAGCATCCAACAAGTTTTCAACATCAGAGGAAAATTTGAAATCCGTAGCCTTAGCAATAGTGAGTTTGAAGTTGATCTTCTTAGGAGCCATTTCAGTGTTCTTGAATTTTGGTAATTGAAGAGATGAGAGGTAAAGATTGTCTCATTAGGCGTGCTAGAAATTTGTAACAACAAATTTTCTCGTCGAGAAAAATAAATAATCAAGACTGGAAAATTGCATAACAAATATAGTATTTGATTTCAATAGAAGATGCGTGTTACAATCTCTATGGTATTCCTTTGATTCTTCAAGAATGTAAAGTATCTTAATGAGCTTGACTTTGATTTTGATTCAAGGGCTTGTAAAGCTTGGTCTTGAATCTCTTTCTTGAACTTGGATTTGGATTTGATCACGAACAAGTAATTTGATCTTGAACACCTTGGTATTTGATTTGCCTTCGTTCTTGATCTTGAACTTGTAGCTTGAGTGCTTGAACTTGTAGGTTGAGTGCTTGAACTTGTAGCTTGTAGAGAAATATGCGGTGTTTGATCCACGAGCTCTCTGCTTCCTTCTTGTTATCACTTATGATGTCTTCTAAATTTATGAAAACCTCTATTTATAGTTGTAGGGAGTGGTGTGACATTGCGATTTGATTGGTCCGTTTGAACTGACCAATACTATCTAGGCACTTGGCATGATTTAATCGGCTAATTTATTTGGCTTGGATTGCCACGTCACTTGATACGTCGCATGATTTTATTGGCTCGTTCTTTTGACTTGGATTGACACATCACTTGGCACGTGGCATGAACCTGGGCTTTAAGATGGGCTAATAGCCATTTGGACCTTGGGCTAATGAAGTGGGCTTATCATTTAATTTGTAGTCCCGTTTAATGGACTAACCCAACACATATATATTGAATTTAAATAATTAGCCCAATTTACTAGTCACAATATTTATTTGGATTAATATCTTGAATTTATATGGTCCAAATTATTTTATGAATTTAAATCTGATAGAATTCAAATGTTTACAGTGATATTCTTTTTGCAACGGATTAATAAAAACGTGTGTCATCTAAATTGAAATGGAGTAAGTACAAGAAAGTGCGAACTCTTACTTGAGGGAGTCTTGCAAAAAGATGGCAGCATTTCTTTGAACCAATCCAGCTCTGTTCCTAGGGACACATCGGTGCTGGGGTTCTCCACTCCCTTTTCTTCAAGAAATGAAATATCCACTGCTGTAGCTCCCGCTACCGCAAAATATATGATCACAAAAGATTCCAACTAATTAAGCAGTAAAAGTTAGAGAAAGGCATATCTGAAGCTATTCGCTGCTGTCTAAATATTTCATGAAAGAGAGACACAAGATGACTGTTAAGGAAAGGGTATGAATTGATTTGGATGCAGTTTATAGGGTTCGTGTTTTTATTTTTATTTTTTATGTAGTATATTTAGGTTTTTAGGAAGATTATTTATGTAATTTATTTTTAATTAAGGACTTTCCACTTTTAGTATAATATATTTGTGATACATTCCGTTTCTCAAGATTCACACAATGTAATTTGACTAACATTTTAAAATATATTTTTTAATCATGTTAACATAAGAAAATTTATAACTTGCGGTCTTATAGTTTTTGAGTATCTAAATTTTAATTTTAAAATATTAAGTCAAAATATTTAGATTCAAAGATTAGTTAAATTTACTCCCGATAAGTCATAAGTGAAATGTATTAAATAAATTGAAACAAAGGGAGAGGAAGAAACCCCCCTAAAATGCAACACTATTCTATATTAGGTAGTATTTCGGTTAAATGTGAAATTCTTAAATATTAGTAATTGTTGATATAGTGACCACCTAACTACGCACTAAATTGAACCATTGAGTTACTGGTATTATTTAGCCATTGTTTGGAAATCGTTAAAGATTCCGCGGCAACTAATGTCTTGTTTATAAATTATTATATTGTAATTATGTTTAATTTAAGGAAATATTGATCACCTACTTTATTTGAGCTAAAAATATTGAATGATGTCCACGTCAGAAAGTCTTTGGATAATGGACCTCTTTTTCTCTTTCCTACTATATAGCAATAGTCGATCTAAACAATAATAAATTGTTTTAGCCTGGCAGTAGTACAGAGCTGCGTTTCAGCATTAGTTTGTCCATTAGCTGCAGTGTAGTCTTTATTTAGACTAGGGTATGTACAAATTTAAGGTACATTAATTTGCACATGGTGGACTGAACAGAAAACAGTACCATGTTAATTACACACACATTTCATACAAACAAATAGTTCGTGCTACGAACTAGCCGGCCGTTTTGTGCCTCCTATGTTATCCAACTTAAAACAAATCGAATATGGATAAGAACTATATTATCCACTTAAAAAATGAATAACATAGCCAATGAATAATTAATGGGCTAACTTTTACCTTTCTAAAGATTCAAATTAGAGATTCCTCAAATTTGGGAGATTAAGAATTCTCTCAAAAGTGATCATATTCAAGAAGGCATGGATAATATGGATATCCATATTATCCGCCGGATAATCCGTTTTTTATCCGTATTAAATATGAATTGGGTCGGGTCGGATAATTTTTCCGTTTTTTAAATTATCCGTTTTCACCCGCTCATATCCGACCCGACCCGCCCGTTTGCCACCCTTAGTTGTGATATTGAGGAACCTGTTCGTTATTCCTTTTAGTTAATCATTTTACTATTCTCGTATTTGTTCTTGTCATCTACATTGTTATTTTCAATTGTTGTCTCTATTGCAATTTAACTGTATAGGTTATATTATTGAGTATCTTGACTTAAAAACATCGTCACTACTTCACCGAGGTTAATCAATATACTTATTGAGTACATGTGATCAATTGTACTCATACTATACTTCTGCACCTTGCGTGCAGATATTCGAAGATGAGCGACCGCGAAATTCGAGAGCCTAGCATTGAAGTCGTACCAGCACTCTAGATACAAGCTAACATTTGTTCATGTTAGTTTAGAATTCATATTTCTGTTTATGTAAATTTCAAACAAATGATGTATCTTTCCTCAAACTGGTTCGTAGTAGCTCGTGACTTGTACTACTAGTCCTTGAGATAATTGTATTGAACTCTTTTAACTATTTTATTCATTATCTCGATTTATTTCTTATTATAATAGTGACTTATGCTGTTGGGCTTACCTAGCGGGTTGGATTATGTGACATCACGACCTAGTGAAATTTTGGGTCGTGACAGTCGAAATTAGTATAATCGCTAGAATTAACTCCCACCACCTTGAAGGTTCACGGATGATGAAGATAACCATCTCCATTTGTGGGGTTAGCGAAGATTCGTAAGCTATGAATGAAGAGAAGGGGTTGGTTTCTCTGAAAGACTCTAATTAATTCGTTCTTTAGTGTATTATGATTACAATTTTAAAAATTAAATAAGACAACACGTATGATTTAACATATTATAACTATCTACAGCCAAAAGTGGTGCATCTTTTTTGTACGCTATAAATTTGGGTTAACCTCAAATACTTATAGAATATCTATACAGTTTAAGTAATGAAATATTGTTTTTGCTACACGTTAAATAATGAAGAATACTTAGAATACACGTGTGAAGCACGTGTCCAAAACTAGTCTTTCGAAAAGGGGAAGAAATGATTACATGGGTAATTTTTGGACGTGATTGGCTGAGAGATGTTGGAGTGAGGGGTGGGTATGTTAGTTGAAGGCGTGGGATTCGGTTACTAATGCCTAGGAGTGGCAAACGGGGTCGGGTTGAATATGGTTCGGGTCGAAAACGGATAAATTATCTGACCCGACCCATATTTAATATGGATAAAAAACGAGTTAACCGACTGGATAACCATATTATTCATGGATTTATGAATATAATCACTTTTGGGAGAATTCCTCGTCTCCCAAACTTGAGAAACCCCCAATTTGAGGCTTTATAAATGTAAAAGTTAAACTCATTAGTTATCCATTGGTTACTCATTGGTTATCCATTTTCTAAATGGATAATATGATTCTTATCCATCTTTGACCCATTTTTAAAAAGTTAATTATCCAACCCATTTTTTAGTGGATAATATGGGTGGTTAACGGTATTCTTTTAACCATTTTGCCACTCCGACCAATGCCCTATAATTAAGGGATACTTTACAATTATTAAATTGTATATAATTGGTAAGTTTATATAATTGTAATTAAGAAACTTTTCTAGCAGGAATAAATAAATTTCTAATATATAGTATAGCTAGATAAATAGTACAAACAATAGAAGGAAATCAAACCCAGTAGCCATCCGTTGCTTGTAGAATGGAACACTTCTTCGACCAGTCATAAATATCAACTTGGTAAATGTACTTGTGAATTCTGCACGCGAAGTCTCTCATTCCTTGCACATTCCACCTGGAAATAACAGAAGAATATCATTAGGAACCACTCATTTGCTGCTGACAATAGTTAGTATATCCGAACTGAACATTCACATTGATACGACTGTTAAACTAGAATGGGCTCTATAACTGGACAACTCCAATCAAAAGAAAATGAAAAGAAGAGAGGGAGGTGTTCTTTTCAACAATTTCCACGTTTCACAACATTGCCTCTCCTGCTATTCGAAAAAACAGACTCACCAAATCAGATCTTCTTCCCCAAAATCTAAAAGAATAAATTTCTAACCACAGGAGATGATTTAAGGGTGTAATCAAGTCAACATCAGTGCACTTTTGCTCGTTGGAGAGCCATTAACAAGTGGAGTAAACATGACTTATGGGTGTTTTCACGTCAACATAAGCACACATTTCCTCATTGAAGAGCCACTAACAACTGGAGTAAAACAAAGTACTGTTTGAGCCATAACATAATGTTACGAGAATGCATTAAAGATTAGAAATGAGTGTTTTACGGTGTTCACAGACACTACATTCTTAAATCTTAAGGAGCTATTAAGGCAGACTCGCCAGTGCTTCATAGTCTAGAGAAGCTGAACTATGAAGTATGATGAGCAGAATGATTTACTAAAACTGTCTGGTGGCAAATATATTCCAGAAGGCAGCAGTAGCAAGAATCTATACCCGTACCAACGACCCCCAGCACCAAAGAAACCCAAGGTTCTTGATGAATTAAGTTCTTGTATAATACCTGCGTGCTGCGGCACAAGTGTTCTTAAGCTATTATAATTAGAGGAGCAATTATAACACACACTTAGCTTGCAAGAATATGAGTAGGAAGACAGACTAAAAAAAGGGGCAGTCCAGTGAACAAGGCATCCCGCGTACATGCATGGTCCAGGGAAGGGCCGCATTCCAAGTGGTGTGATGTAGACACCCTATCCTAATGCAAATATTAGAGGCTGCTTTTACGGCTCGAACGTGACAATACAACTTTACCGTTGCTCCAAGGCATCCCTTTTGGGAAGATAGACTACTTTTCTTTAAAACCCGCATGAAACCTGCCCGTTTCTAACCCAGCAGGCCAGCCTACTGCTACAGAGATAAAAAGGTGCAGTGATTCTGTTTATACATTGTGTCCCTCAATGAGTCAAACTTTAGCTGGATGTATTCTAGAAGTGCAGATAAATGTGTCCCTCAACGAGTCAGTTAGATGCTATGCGTTGTCCAAGTGCAACATCTCAAGAAAACTCTAAGTAAAAAGGAAACAAACAAAGTTTTAAGATTCATTTACAAATACAACTTTTAGATTTATATTCTTCAGATCATATTAGTAGGGACCTTACCTGGAAAGCTTTTAAGATAGAATTGTAATGTCTTTGCTCTGAAACAGCAGCTGCATGTGTCGCCTTGAGAGCTTCACGAGCTTTCTGCTCCGACTCTAGAGCAATTTGCACCTTTTCCAGCTTCTGGAACATGCAGCCCACCAGTAAGTGTTCATGTTACTGACCAGATAAATGCCACTAACCCATGTTTCGATCTTTTAATGTTATTGACCAATAAATGATGTTCAAAGAGGCACATTTAGAACACTGAAATTTGTTTCTGTTAAGAGGAAAGCATAGAACTTCAAAGTGAAAATAAATTCAGTTGGATAGACATAAAAATCAAGTTTGTTAATTGTATGTAGGGCATATCTAGAAATGCCAAAATATTTTTAAAATGTACAAGACAACCTTTCAGATTACTAATAACTCCTAAATATGAGTCAAGCAAAAATGACTGGCAGAACAGAGATCCAGTACTCCTCTACACACAACTTGCCCACTAAAGAGAAATAAGTAATCAAAGGAAAGCCATCAAGGAGATCTTCAAGCTTTCCTGTAAATGGCCAGTGCAGATGAATAGGTCCTTTAATTTTAACAGAGATAGTCAGAATTTATAACCAGCATTAACGCAAACAAAAAAATGAGAAGGGAATACTGCACTCAAAATATACTGGTATGGTGTTAGTTTTCAAATAAATATCCCAAGTCGTCTCTTTCTCAGATTGAGAAGTCGTAGAAATCAGTTTCACAAAACCCATCTGCCTATTGAGTTACCCGGTACCTCGTGGGAGGTAGCAGGTAGATGGTCGAATAGTCGAGGTGGATACAAGTTGGCGCGGACACACCAAAAAAAAAAATTCGGTTTTCAGTAAATACAACATTACTGAACTTTTCGGAAAAAATACCATCTCAGTGAGATCAGCAATATAATTTTCAAGAACTGCATGAAACATGTCATGTTTACAAAATGGAAAACTAGATACTAGAATGTGGTTGCTAATAAATCAAAAGAACATTTGCATGTTAGTATCTTATCAGCATAAGGGCAAGGTCTCTGGAAATGTTTGGATTGCCCCTTCACATCTCTAGCCACACATTTAGCATACAGACTTTGGTCTATAAACATTGAAATCAAGTTATTAAACAAGTTGAAAGCCGAGAGAACTGATGAAGTTATCTGTGCCTAGATTCAAAATGTGTCTAGATTTATTTAACTTTTTCTGAAAAGGATCTAGATTTATTTTACTTGAGCAAGCAGAACAATAACAATAACAACATACCCAGTATATTCCCACAAGTGGGGTCTGGGGAGGGTAGTGTGTATGCAAACTTTACCCCTACCTTGTAAAGGTAGAGAAGTTGTTTCCGACACACCCTCAGCTCAAGAAAAGAATAATCACAGCAGTTTAGGTAAAGAAATACAGTAAAGGAGAATCCATTAAAGAAAAGTAGTAACCACAGTCAGAAAAAAGATAACCGAAACAAAAAAGCAGCAGGTAGTATTAGAAATCTACGAATAGGAAATATGAGAATGCACTAGTACTACAAGTATAGAAAAGCAATAAAGGTAAGTAAAATATTATAGAATACTTATATATTAAAAACTGTAAAACAATTTGTACTTAATTTTGGAAATACTTACCTTATAAGTTATAGAGAATTATAACCTATGATATACAATATAACCTGTGACTCTTATATAACGAGTCCCTCTTGTACATTGTTAACCATCATTTCAATAAGAAGCTTCTCCCTTCTTTAACATGATATCAGAGCTTCACTTAGCCTTGGTCGAAGATTTAAGGAGGTTCTATCGATAGAAAGCAGCACTACACGATCTATCCCGCCAAATTGTTTCCTTCTTTTTTCGATGACCATCCTAACGAAAGCACTCTTATTTTAGTGATGTTGATACCGTGCCGAAAAAAATATTAGCACATGAAGAAAAAAAACAACGAGAAGAAGATAAACAAATAAATAAATTCAACTAAATTAATAAACTGAAAAAGCAAATAGAATAATTTAAAATTCAATTAAATTAACAAAATGAAACAAAAAGACAAACAAATAAATAAAATAAAAGCTGAAGAAGTGAAAGAATACGAGAAGAAAAGAAAAAGAAATCACAACAACAACGATATCACAACAGAGAAACAAGAAGGGAAGGAGAATAAGAAAAGGAGAAGGAGGAGAAGAAGAAAAGAGGAGAAAAATATAAAGAAGAAAAAAAAGAAGCAATACCTGGAGCTTGAAGAAGAGCAACAGAAAGTCCCAACTTTAGTCGTAACTCAAAGAAGAAAGTCGCACCAATGGTTTTCTTTTTGAAAAACTAAAAAGTCCACCTTTTTTAAATAAAAAATAAAAAACACACGTCTCCCTCGCTTCAGTCGCTGCACACGCTTAAGTGGAGAAAGCGCCCACTTCATTAAAGCCGCTTCGCGTCAGTGATCTGAAGCGGACTACCCATCGCATCGCTTTGCTTCTCGCTTTAAGCGACGAAGAGCTCGCTTTCCCCAACTCTGCTCCACACTGACCCCCACCCCCGCCCACCCTTCCGCAGTGTCGTCAAAGGTGCACTTAAAGCACACTTAAGCCTTAAAGCGAGGCACAAAACATGTTGAGCGCTTCGTCTTACTTAACGTGCGCTTCAGTGTTATCTTCAATGCTCTAAGGCATACTTTTCTGTGTCAATGAGCTTAATCCTGAAGAGATAACGGTAAACAACTGATATTTTACTTTGTCGTTTTTTTTTCAATTTCTTTATCCATATATTTGTTATTGATGCTTATAAGTATTAGTCTTGGACTACACATACATATTTGTATTTATTTTCTTTGTTTGCGTCATTCTTCATTAAAGTCCATGCTTTATTTGCACTTTGCGCTTAAAACCCCAATGGACCTTAGAGTTTTTTTGCACCTTTTGCCTATGATTACACTGCCCTTCCCCTACCCCCGGTCCACCACCNCGAAACCTGGACATTGGACCCCGACCCCTGAACCCGCACCCCGAAACACGCCCCACACCCTGAACCCAACTTTTGATCCTGATCCTTGACCCCAAACCTCGAACCTCCCTCCCCTCCCTCCCCTCACCGCCCTCATACACCTCCCATTTTTCCTATAGTGTTTGCTTAGATTATATAAAAATGTTGTTGGGACAATATTTTGTGCTGACTAACAAAACACAGAAAAATAAGTAAGAAAATTACTTATTTTCCAACAAATTATTTTCAAAGAAAACATTTTATGGGTATTTCCTTCATACTAAATGCACTCAACATCGAGCTAGTTTTGTTTCACAACGACAACAAAGAGATAAAAGGCAATCCAGTATACTCGACTTCACAATATGTCAAGATTTATTGAATTTGAATTAGAAGAATAATTGTAGAATATTATATAATACGCCGCAAAATGGTATATGTTTTACTACAAAAAATAGTTTCTAATATATAGAAGAGCCTTGGAAGTAGCTGGTGGGTGTTGTCTTGCCTGCTTACCGACCAAGGCCTATTTTAGTCATTTCATGTCTAATTTCAAGTATAGGTGTCGCACAACATTAACACATGATGGACCCCGATGATAGTTGTTGCACATCAGAAGCCCTATTGTGTTCTTAAGATGACAATAGGAATGTGGTTGCTTGGTTTGTATCTAATCGTCCTGCTTCCTTCTCTCTTCCAATTGTGTTTTATACTCCATTCCCCGTGTTCCTCTTATAGCGGGTGACTGTTGCTGGTAACATGTTTGGTGTTTTTTTCAGTAATTTTCTATCATTTCAGTTCTCTGTGCTTCTGAGAGCTTCCTTAACTGGCTTCAATTTTTCCCTTTGCTTGTCCTTTGATTTTCAAAACAAACCCTTTTATGGTAGCCTCTTGATGCTGAAGAGATCTTGATCAGAGTAAACATTTGATGAAGTAGATCGGGAATGTACAATTTCTCCATCTACTTTAGTTTTAATATAAAGACATTCGCGAGAAAAATAGCTTTATAAAACTGGTTGTCAATTTGCTCTGTTCGGTGCTTTTCAAGATTTGACTGGGTTGCACCTGCTGCTGCTGAGCGCTAGCCGCGACTTCCTTTTTCACTCTCTGTTCCTGGCTTCCCGTTTCAATTGTTACATTCGTGACCATGTGCCTGTTTGTGGTTTATCTCCCCGTTTGCTTTTGTATTTGAGTCCGTGTTTTAAAAGGCATGGGCGTAAAGCGAGGCATTTTACATATGCCTAAGCGAGGCGTAAGCCTCGAGGCACGGGGCGTAAGACCCATGGGTATTTAATTTTTAATATTTTATTAAATAATATAATTACAGTAAATATTTTTAAACAAGTAAAATTGCATAAAAATGGAAGAAACTATAAATATGTGAAAAATATATATATATATATAGATGTGCCACATCTCCACAAAAAACTAGTCAATACAATCTATTATACGCTACTTACAAGTACAAGTAACTTGAGTCGAAAAGAATAAAGTTTTCTATATGGAGGAACAAAAATAATGACTAACCTGCAATTTGAACTTTGAACTTGCTGCTATGAAGGAGAATGGAGTTCTCGTTGTATTTGTAAAAAAATTTAAATATTAGTTGCTTTTGGGAGATATTACAGACTAGCAGACAAGATAAAGAATTGAGAAAGACCATAAATTAGGGCTTCAATCAATAAAAAAAGGTCTTGGCTTTTAAATTTAATACATTTCAGTTCTTTCTTAAAACTTTTGAGTAATTACAAGCTAACTTTCGAGAATTTGGGTATTATATGAAGGGATTATTCAACAAATTTTGTTTTAATTTGAAAAAGTCTCTGGGGCTTACGCCTCACTAAAACAATGCGCCTCAAACGCCCGAGCGTACGCCTCTTGAGATTTTCACCCCATACCATCGCCTCGGGGCATTTTTGGTGCGCCTCGCCCCGAAAACGCCTTTTAAAACACCGATTTGAGTGAAACACCTAATGAAGTTATCTCAGTTTATTACTTTGCAGTATATTGAAGGCTGCATAACATATTCCGCATCAACATTACAGCAGGTAAGCTTCAAACGATGTTGTTCTACTTTAAAAAGTTTATAATGTTTGTTTATCATTCTTGATAGTAACAAATTGTTATGATTGATTTACTTCATTCTAAGGCCTAATACAGTAAGATTGAACAACTTGGTCCATTTATCATTTAATTTATACATAGTAACTTCTATTTTTGTGTGTCCGTGTAGCACTTTTATATTTCTCTCCAGCTTAATACATGCATTTTTTGACTATCCAATAATATTCCCAATCAGTTGTAAAGATATATTGAGTCAAATGTCCATAGCCACTCTGAATCATCTTAAAGAAATTATTATTGCCACAATAGTTCACTAGGTCTACCACCAAATTTGGTTAGTACAACTGGTTGAATGCACGGTCTCTTAGTAGAAAATCTATGGCAGAAGTGAAATTTTTGTGTACTTTTTCTGCAAGCAGAGCTATTGGAAACAACCTCTCTACCTTCACTAGGTAGGGGTAAGGTCTGTGTACACACTACCCTTCGCAAACCCCACTTGTGGGAATATACTGGGTTTGTTGTTGTTGTTGTTTCTGCAAGCAGAGGGCAGAAGTACCAGGGTTGTAGGAACTGAAATCAACAAATCCATGGTATGGAAGCTTTGTTCTTTCCATATCTCATCAGGAAGACAGATTATTGTTTTAATAACAGATACGATTTTCCTTTGCTTTTGATGTACTTCTCTTTGGGTTAGCCTACATCACCACATGTGAGCTCTTTTACTAATAAGAGAGTACATATAAACTGGACTGGGCCATTGGCTTTATGGGCGGCCTTCCTCATGCCACCAATACATTAACTGGACTAACCGTTCTTATGCAGGGACTAAAATAAGCAGTTGATAGAAGCTCACACCACTGGAAATAGCCACAGACTCAGTGGAGGTAATCCGAATGGCAGGGGAGTGATAATTATAACCCTATTATTTTTTAATGCAAGCAGTTGACGCAAAAGCTGGGAAGCCCAATGATCAAGCACACCTATAGGGAGCAAAACAAAGTGGCAGATCTAATGGCGAAAGAAGGTGCCAAGAAGTAACTTTTTGGAAATCCAAATATGGTGATAATTCTTCCGGTGTTTGTGAATGAAGTTTTTTGGACAGCATCCTAGGAACTCGTATGAAAGACATACAGTAATTTGTAATAGCTCTAGTATTTTGGCACAATATTTGGTTTTGGGTGGGAATCATAATGATTCCCAAGTTTGCATTAACCAGTACATTTAAGGTGTGTGTATATATATATATATATATATATCCAAAAAAGAAAGAGTACACATACTAGAAAATAAGAGTTTACTCATCTGGTTGGTTTCTGAATCAATAATAGGTCCGCCTGATAAAACTACATTGTTGAATGACTTGCTAGCATGCCAATCAAAACTTTCTTTACTTTGGTATGCTAATTGAATCGCTACAGCAACTATGTTGCTGGCTCCTTCTTCAATCTATAAAGCTTTTCTTGTTGCAACCTACCTAGAGGTTTTCATTCTCAGAGGTCACCAGAGGAGAAGTGTGTACGCAGACCTTACCCCTACCCCGAAAGAGTAGAGAGGTTGTTTCCGATAGACCCTTGGCTCAAGAAGACGAAAAGAGACAATATATATCAGTACCATCAACAGAAACCATAGAAATAATAACAGCATCATAAGAACTAGAAAATTAAGGTACATTTTTATTTTATGAAAATAAACCAAAAACAATACTAAACCGTACCGAATAAATTTACATATGGAAAATATATTTATATATTAAGTTTAAAAATACTAAAGCATTAAATTTTTCCTTGGGCCTTGAAGTTATGAAAATGGTTACAAGCCAACAAGTAATTAAACTCAAAATCATAATTCCCAAACCTATTAAGCTACTCCAATTGAAACTAAATTATTTCTCGCATATTCACTAGCAAGACACAAAGTATTCTAGCGACTATGAGTAGCAAACTACAATGTATTGAATATGTTTCGTTATCGTATGATTTAGATTTATCTTTTTGAATATTTAATCATCTACATACTTTATTCTTGAGTTCCAACTTGGTTAATATCTTTCCGCTCGTTTGATTTATATTTTCTTTGTCTTTACTTAGTTTCTTTTACGCTACTGTGGAATAGTTAATGGATCTATACTCTGGCCATCTTTCATGTTTTCTTAATTCATCACCCTTTAAACAGTAAAAAAGTCTAGAGAGTTTTGCTAAGTCCTATAAAAGTACGTATGTTATTGCATTCTACTAGTGACTTTTACAAGACATTGAAAAAAACTGAACATTAACCGAAGCGTACTGATACCGAAGAGAAACCGACATGATTGAGACGGTTTCGAAAAGTCTAATTTTGGTTATACATAATAAAATAACCGAAAAATTGGTATAGTACAAATTTTATAAAATAACTAGCCGAACCGAACCATTGACACCCCTAGGTAGAGGTAGGCCGAAGAAGTATTGGAGAGAGATGATTAGACAAGAAATGGTGAAACTCCAATGACCGAGGACATGGCCCTTGATAGGAAGGTGTAGAGATCGAGGATTGGGGTAGTAAGTTAGGTAGCCTAGTGTTTTCCTTGTTCATACCGGTAGTATTAGTACGTACTCCCGTATTTTGTTGGTATTAGGTTTTTATTATTACCTGTTGTTCCTTTCATTTCGGTCATCTTACTGTCTTTTTATTTATGCTGTTTCTCCATGCTTCTTGTTGTTGTTTCGTGTTGTTTTTCTTTTCATTATTGTTGTGCTTATGCTTTCCTGAGTCGAGGGTCTATTGGAAACAATCTTTTATCTCTACAAGGTAAGGGTAAAGTCTGCGTACACTACCCTCCCAGACCCCATTATGTGACATTCCACTGGGTATGTTGTTGTATATCCTTTAATTTCTCAGCTAGAAGTAGGAAGGTTCTATTCTAATAGTATGTTTTTCCTTTTAATAATATTTAGACTTACTGTGTTTTCATGTGCACTGGGCCAACTTATTGAAGAAGTATGGAGTCTCTAAATGTTGATGTTGTAAACTACATTTGGTGACTAATCATATACTTTTTTTGCAAAATCTTGTTGATATTATGGCCCTTCAAGACATGATCGCCGAAAGAAGGGGGATTGGATGTGGAACTGGAGATGCGTAAGCTCTATTAGAATTATTTTGACGGTACAACCATTGTTGAACAAGCAGCACTGCATCAACAGAGGTTTCAACCTTGGCAGATGCACTGCCACTTGCTCAACAATGGTTATGCTGTCAAGAGAACTTTTCTAACTGCCACTTGCTCAACAATGGTTATGCTGAGAACTTTTCTTACTGCTGGCTCAACTTATTTGTTGCTTATTGCCCTGGCTCTTGTATTCCCTTCCAGGAGAGTCTTGATTCTCCGTTTTTCTTCTTTCAAACTGGATTTAGTAATCAATATCAATCCCAACTAATTTATGAATTCTCTGTCTCTGTGTGTTCAGTCAATTCACCATAATTATGCTATTTTACATTAGTTGTCAATATACAACAACTCTCCAACTTTTCCATGTTAAGAACTGGCTATACTTTGTGAAAGCCCCCATAGGCAGAGCCTATTCTAGATCTTAATTTTCAATCCACCATCACTCTATAGAATATCATTTGAATGAGGAGGAGCATAGATACCTGTTGAGTCCCGTGCAGAATTCCTTCCATGGAATCAATCAATTTCTTTCGACCAGCAGGGCTAGTAAGAGCACCTTTAAACTATACAAAGAGACACAAAAGGTGGCAAGATAAAAGAAATAAACACTGTGTACGCAACAAATAGGATGGATCAGCACATAAAGGGAGAAGATGCAAACAAAGTTTGGATATCAACAATGATCAATATACATCGTACATGGTAGAAACCTAAGAAAACTATCAGAGAAGCACAAAGTGTGTAAGATGGATAACAAAGTATTCTTTTCAATATAATTTGTGTTAAGTCAGTCCATAAAAAGAGGAATATTTACTCAGAAAAGCACCATAAGTCTTTCCACTCATCAACAGAACAAACAATCAACATAACTCACTCTCTCACTCATCAACTACGTCACTACCAGCTAAAGACAACTTTTCAGAAAATAAGAAGAGAGCCACTAAAAAAGACAGAGAAAGAACTAAGCCAATCAGTACTCATTAAACTAAGCCATGGTCCAACAATTTACAGATTTTTAAAGTGTTTAGGTTGCATATTATGTAACTAAGGAGTAATATCGACTTATTCAGTGCAGGAAGATAAGTTTCCATTTTAATTCCATAAGCATTTTGTAAAGGAGATTAGAAAGTTTACTGAAAGTCGAAGCAAAAAGAAAGAAACCAATGGTTTAAGCCAAAGACAAGGTTAAAAAGATTTTGCAGAGTTGTCGGAGATTAGAAGGAGAAGGATATTTTCCTTTTCTTTTTCGGGGTGATAAAATAAGGGAATGGAAACAGATTGAGCTTTCCAAAAACATGCCGGTTGGATGCTCTAATTGTCAAATGGGTTATCCTTGGGTGCAAAACGTAAGGACAGTGGAGAGTGGAGAATGGTTGAGAAAGTGAAAAATAGGTTACTGGATAGCATGAAAGAGACCTACCGAAAGGGACAAAGGAGACATTGACCAAGAGTACTTTATCCAGCATTTGAACTAAAGGTAAGATTTTAATGATATACAGTACTAAGATAGTACCGTTAGAGATTATCCAGCACTCAAACCTACTGCATCTCCTTATTGAGTATACCGAGAAACATCCAGATAGGCTAGAACGGTTGCAAAGAAACTTCCTGTGAGAGAGACTCATGTCGGGAGTTAAAAGAGTTTCACTTGGTCAATTGAACAACAGTTACGGCTCCTATGAAGTGGGGATCTCGGAGTGAGAATTCTGAGGATGTTCAAGAGCGCTCAACTAGGTAAATGGATGTAGAGGTACAGAATGAAAGAAAGCATTGTGGAAAAATATCACTGCTAACAATTATGAGAACAAATGGGATGATGGAGAACAACCACAATATGATGCCTATGGAGTATCTTTATGGAGAGGCATTGTGAAAGAGCGAAGAAGGGGCACCACAATTAGCTTTGGCAGGAAAGCTGGAATGTGGGATATGCTCAAAAGTGATGCCTTCCTGGCAACCAATATACTCTACATCGAGCAAGAAGACAGCAAAAGTTGCCTAGATTTCAAGGAATAAGGAGAAACAATAGTATGGGATTTGAACTTCTGAATAAACAAACATGCAAGACTGAGATACGTAAGAGCTGAATAGTTAGGGAAATATCATATAAAACAAAGAATGTCAGCCATGGAAAGTGAAAGGTTTATGGTAAGAGAAAAAGAATTGTGTGCTCGGCGTTAACTTTTTCTATAATGACTATTGAAAAAGGAGAAGTGATAAACATACAAGCTCAAATCGCGATGTTAGAGAAGCACAAGTGGAAATCATGCTTTCTACCGCAATGGAGGCTAATTAGGCTCACGAAGGTGCCAATGAATTTGGAGAACCGGGCCACAAATTTAAAATGCATACACCAATTAGCCTTGGTCCAAATGAGACCCAAGATCAAAAAATTTAAGAAGTCCAACAATCCATTCAAGATTTTAGGATTTCTTTTCCTTAAAGATTAGGATTTCTTAATTCTTATTTCCTAGTAATTTGATTCTTTGTTTTGGTATAATTATACTTGTAGTTCTAGTCATACTAAGATTGTTAGTTGGTATACCATTCCTACTAGAATTCTTTTTTCGAATTTAGTTAGGATAGATTTTTCTTAACCTAATTCTTATTCTAGTTTAATTAAGATTAGTTTTCCTTAATCTCATCAATTTTACTTATTGTATGGCCGATATAAAGGTCTCAATATGCTGAAAATAAACATTGGTGATTGGTTTTCCTAAGCTCATGCTTCGAAAACGTGATTTATCTTTTGTTTGTTTCTTCTTCCTTTATTCAATGCTCCTTGCAATCTTGCGGGATTGAAGAACGAGTGGGAGCGAGTGGTAAGGTTCTTTACATCTAACATTCTTCTCACATGAGTTTGAAGAACGCTTTTGCTAGTTTTATGAAAAACTTTAGTGGGGTGCTTTTGTTTTTTCTTTCTTCTTGTGCTGAGAGGTCCAAAACCTTGAAAGTACATCAAGAAGCGAGAGATTCTACATTCCTAATGTGAGAAATAAGGACACGGAAAAATATTATTAAGATGCGTAACGTAATTGTCTTACATTGAGCCCTATTTATATGCATACTTCACACAAAATATAATATCTATTTCCTAATGTGGGATACTAAGTATATTATTATATACACTAACTATCTAACACTTACCCTCAAGCCGGTGCATATAAGTCATATGCACCGAGAATGCTACAGATGTAACTAATAGTCTAATACGAGGACCAATGAGGGGCTTGGCGAAAATATCTACAAACTGATCATTTACCTTCACTGATATTGTAACAGTATCTCCTAAGCATCTTTCCCCTAACAAAGTGACAGTCAATCTCAATGTGTTTAATCTTCTCATGGAATACCATATTTGATGTGATATGGAGGGCCGCTTGATTATCACACAAATTCCATCTGACTGATTTTGCCAAGTTTTAATTCTCTAAGCAACTGTTAGATCCAAACTAGCTCACAAGTTGTTATATTCTGCGTCTACACTAGATTGAGCAACCACATTATGTTTCTTGCTCTTCCGAAACACCAAATTACCTCTACTATACAATATCCAAATGTAGAACATCTATCGGAAGGTAACCATGCCCAATCTGTATATGCCTATCCAACGATTTGCTCATGGCCTCAATCCTCGAAGAGCAGTCCTTTGCCTGGGGATGATTTTATATATTCGAAGAATGCGGACAACTGCATCCCAATGACGATAGTAAGAAGAGTTCATAAACTGACTTACAACATCTCTGTTAGATAGCTTGTTAGATAGTTTGTGTAGTATGTTAAGTGTCCCATATTGGAAAATAGATAGTATGTACTGTGTAAAATATATATATATATATATATATATATATATATATATATATATAGGGATCAGTGTAAAAATATAGTTTTATAGAATATAAATAATATTTTCCCGTGCTACTTCTCACATGGTATCATAGTCGTGGTGAGACACATCTGGGAACAAGAATACAGTCAGACAATCACCGTGCCTCGAATTTCCAGTGACTTCTCATGGTTGTTTTGTCATCTCTCCTTCAATATTGTGTGAAAACCAACACTACTAAAAGATTCGTTATCGTTAGGCGACCAAACCCCAGCCAGGTTCTCCGGCATCCGACCTTGCATGCACTATCACATGCATCTGGCAGCTAGATTCCAACGAGCGCGTCACGTCACACGCTGGCGAGTGAGACCCTTTTCTAACATATTCCGAGTTCGATTTTACTTATGTGGTATTCGCCTGCTTATTTTGACACATAAATATTGTAAATTTGCAGTCACTGAAATAGTGTTTTCCCGACGTAACAATGTTTTCCGGCATGAACAGTATTTTCCTGGCGTGAACAATTTTTTTCCAAAAATAATTGTATTTTCCGATGGTGTGTCAGAACCTATTTCGTTGTGGATCTCAGCTGAACCTATCAGCCACTTTAACTGTAATATCGTCAACATACATGGGCAGAGATTTCCCAGAACAACCTCCGCTTCGGTTCTCATAGTCTAAGATATCTGATTTTCCCTGTCTAAGATGCAACTCTATGACCGAATGGCACAACAGGGCGAAGTAATCGAGAAAATAGCTCATCCCCGATAGGAATAGCAGGACTAGATAAAATTTGGTTAAAGCATCAAATCAAGGTCACTAGGAAGTCCATCAAGTGTAAGAACTAGAAACATTTTTTGTCATTGCTCCTGTTGTTTCTCAACACGAGCAGTGACTGGCATCAACTTCTCAATTTCTTCCATGATTATCAGTACCTGCCCCATTTAAGCAGAACAATCACTTCTTGCTTCCTTAAGTTAATCTTTTTATATGTCATTCGTGTATGAAGTGCAAGCCATTTCCCAAATTGAATAGCATGTCCGAATGGACGAGATAAAAGCATCAACTTGAAATCAATAGATCGCCATAGGTAACTATATAATTGAGTATCAACATTTCTCCCAAGTGCTCAGACTTTTACGTCTCCCTCAATAGCTTTTTATGTTAAGTAATTTTGAACACCTTGACTCTTGCACCATAATTCAACCAAGGAAGCCCAAGCTAAGTAGTTTGGACTTCCCATTAAGGGTTACAAAGTAATCATAGGACTTGAATTTCCATTTCATGCGTCTTTGGAACCAAAAACTTTAAACTCGAAAGATATGGTTGGATTGAAGAGTGTTCTAAGCAAATAATCACAAAATATAGTTGAGAGGCTGCTGAAAAGAGATGATGTGAAACAACAGTGAAGAGTCACCGGACCGAAGTGGTTTTCTGGGTTTGCTCGCTAGAGCTTGCTGAACTTGGTGATGGTGTTGGTTTTCGCACAACACCCACGGAAAGAGATGATGCGAAACAACAATTAAAAGTCACCGGGAAAAAAAATACGGCGATCGTCTTTTTTTGCCCAGATGGTTCTCACTAATGCTCTGATACTATGTGAGGAATAAAGGCACGATAATCATCTTACAAAGTCTCATCAAATGCTCTTCCACTTCCAGTGGTCACAGTTACAAACTCAAACAAATAATAAAAGCTAAATGGAAAAAGAAAGGAGTTTAGAACTAAACTAATTTTGAGTTGGAAAACAAAGAAGGGTGATAAAAATGAGATCAAATAAAATGAATATTCATCAAATTTACTTTTGTTTTTTCTAGAAGGTAACATTTGTGTATATTAAAGATGTCAGTACAATAGTTTGTACTGAAAACCATATTTACAAGCGAGCAAAAGATAGAAGAAACTATTCCGCAGTCCTAGCAAGTTTTCTAGAATTTCTAGGATTGATACAGTATCTTCTATGTAAAACTATTAACACCAAAAAGAAAAAAGGAGAACACAATTTAGTTTGATCTTCAGCACTGAGTTGCTATTGTCCTTAAAACATTTGGAACTCCTCTCTTTTCAGATTGTCCGCTAGATACAAGCTAGGACAGTCCTCCATCTATCTTTATCTCTGGCTCCGGCTCCAGTTTCATCCCAACTAAAAAGAACTTCAGTAGTCTTGCTAGGCATTGTCCAAGATATACCTCTAAGATTAATAAAGATCTTCCACAATTGGACTGTTATCTTGTAGTGTAAAAATAGATGGCTAGCTGTCCCACAAAGGAAGCACCTTGAACAAAGTGGCATTACTCTTCTCATGAGATGGTCTTGAGTCAAGATCCTTTGCTAGTAGCCAATAAAACAAGCCACCTTGTAGTAGATTTACTTTCGAGATATGTTTCCATGGCCAATTAGTAATCTGCTGATTAGGATGGTTCAGAATCTTGTAAGTTATATTCACCTTATAGATACCATTGTTGTGTCCCTGCCACCATAATGTGTCAACCCTATTTTGTAATCTATTCTTTGAGCTGCTTGTAAAACTCAGTCAACCTAGTCACCTCCCAGTCATTCCGCATTTTCCTAAATATGAGATCCCAACATTGAAGTGTCCATGTTTCAGCTACTGTCTTTTGTTGATGTTGGACCAAACCATATATATCAGGAATATGCATATTTAAACAACTAGCTCCCAGCCAGTTATCGTACCAAAAGGAAGTTTTGCTTCCATTTAGTACTTTAACAGAAGTATGACTCTCCATAACATGCCAAAGTGACCTAATGGATATCTATATACTAATTCCATATGATGTGTTAACTTCATTTGATATCCACTTTTCTTTCTCACCATATTTGGTTTTGATCACACTTCCCCAAAAGGATTGAGGGTCTTAAGAGTACCTCCAGACCCGTTTCATCTTGAGAGTCTTATAACCCCCTAATAGCACTTATTTCCCTCCAAACTGCTCTTCTTTCAATATTGCATTTACGAGAATAGACCCATGTAATGTGATTCAAAAAATTTGCAAAAGAGCCTCAAATTTGCAAGTCAAAGTATATGCTCCAATTTGCAGTACATATCCTCTCCAAATTCTGATATCACATAACATCATGATACCCCGTAGTACCACTGGCTTCCAAACAAGCAAATCTCACCTATCTCCCTCCCCGTATTTGCTTGACAAATTCCTTTTCTTCCCCCTCCAATTTAGTCTCTTGGAAACGGAGAATATCAGTGTTCCAATTGAGCACTAAGTTGTTCACAATCCTTCTTTTCTCCATGTCGTCCAATCCTCTTACATTCCATGAGATTAATTTAATCTTCATGATTCAATAGATAGAATACCTTTCCCCCCCCCGTTCCTTCCACCATACTCTTAAATTTTACATTGAAAGAAGCTAGCCCTTTCAATTCCTGCGTACCTTTGAATCTAGCTTTCTTAATATTCTCGTCTTCCTCCATTCTTCTGGCTTATCTGTAGCTGTCAATTTGCTTTAACAACTCCAAGGCTTCTTCTTCGTGTCCCGATAAATCAACCCCGAACATTTTCCCCAATTTTAGCAAATTTTGATGGACCAAAATTGTCGCTTCCATCTCTTTTTCAAGAAAAAGAATCCTGATATTGGAAAGGTTCAGCATCCTCCACTTCCCATTCTTCAATATTGGTGCCTTCTTTGTGAAAGTTCAGTGCTTGCTGTTGCACGAGACCATTATCAAGAAGGGATTTCCCAGTAGTAACTATTGTCAGCATTGTCATCTCTTTCCCCTGCATGTTTTTCTCTACTCCTCCTTTAATCTCCACGCAAGATGACACCACCTCAGCTTGTGCCGATATTCCCCGTGTCGATATTCCCCTTTCTGCTCCTGCTTTGAGTGGACCTTGGATCGGATTTCACGGCGCAACAATATTATATATATGTAGATCGGGTCGCACGCCACAACGATATTGGTATTGATATGTGGATCGTGTTGCGCGCCGCAACGGAGAGGATGTATTGTGGTTATTCTTGGTTGTTAGACTCCTACCGTGTTGTGTTGAAGGATGGTGAAGTGATGATAATCTGAGGCCCTCTGTAATTTACCTTCTTGTTCCGTTTATATCATGTTGTTATTCATTTCTCTATCTCATTATTGTTTTTCTGCTTAGACTTGTACAGGTTATAGTGAGTATCTTGTCATAGCCTCGTCACTACTTCGTCGAGCTTAGGCTCGACACTTACGGAGTACATGGGGTCGGTTGTACTCATACTATACTAAAGCACTTCTTGTGCAGATCCCGGTATTGGTCCCAGCGGCGTACAATAGTGATTGTTCGAACCCTTTCTCCCAGGAGACTTGAGGTAATGCTACACTGTGTTTGCAGACCCTGAAGTCCCCCTCCTATCTTTATTGATGTTAACCTTGTATCAGACAATTTTGTATTTTATTTCGGACTTAATTTGTAGTATTCTAGTAGCTCATGTACTTGTGACACCAGTTTCAGGGAATAGTCTAGATAGTGATGGTTTCGAATTATTACACATTTCAGGATATTTCAGTCTTAATTTATTATTATTGTATTTTAAAATTGTTTAGTTAATGTTGGCTTGTCTAGCAAGCGGATGTAAGGCGTCATCGCGGCCCCGTGGTTGGGATTTTGGGTCGTGGCATATGGATCCCGAGGACACCAAGGAAAATTTCAATCTTTACTTGAACAGCAGCATGGGAACCATTTAACAGGAGAACTTGAAAAGAAGAACGATAATCCACCTCTATTTGTGCGTCATGTGCAAGCAGGCAGAGCCCATTTACTATTGTTTCTTGGTTGCCTTCAGTTTATGGTATATGATGTGAATAATATTTGGGGTGGAGTGGCCTGACACCATAGACGATAAGCGAATTACTCCTGCGTTGGAAATTCAGAAGAAAGACAAGTAGAGTATGGGGATATCGCCCTTAACATGGACAATTTGGAAAGAGAAAGAAAAAAAGAGCATTTAAAGGGGTGGAAAATGCTTTTAGTACATTAGTTTTTCGGTTTCTGTTTTTTTGTATAATTTTGAGTCACTTTCGATATCCCTACATGTGTTGATAATTAAATGTTCTTTGAAGAGAATCATGTCTTTTTTGTAAGGCTATCTACTTTTTGTATACATCGTGTATGCACGGTTTCCCATAAAATTAATTTCATAAAAGGGATAAAGGTAATATTTTGCTTTGTACTATACCTGTGAGCTGATGGAATTCAGTAACGATGTTCTTTCCAACAAAATTCGACCTATTTCTATTTAAACCATACTATACCTGTGAGCTTATGGAATTCAGTAACGATGTTTCCTTTAGCATCAATTCTTTTATCTCCAACAATATGTTGTAAGTAGCATAGTATTTGTGAGTTTGACGATGCTTGGCCTGCATATTCAGTGTTAACAAAGTGATTGACAAGGAGCTGAAGTGTTAGTCATGGTCAAATGATGGTTTAAGTCACTAACTATGCTTGTACCTGGATATGAGTATAAAGTTCAGAAAAACGGAGTTCATACCTGCGTCAAAAAAGCTCTGTCAGAAGTATGATGTACCAGGCATATTAAGATAAATCCAACAATATTCATGGCTAATAATAGGCACATGAACAGAGAAATCTTTTCAAGTTTATAAATATTTAGTAAAAGAAACAATGGGACGTCGAATAGGATCAATGTAAGACACCATGTAGACTACAACATAGCATCCTTTTTTTCCTCCAAAGAAACATTATGCTACATTCTGGAAAACATAACTAACCAGTAATAAAAGAGCTTGATTCTCGAGATAAAGAAAATTCTATGGGAGTGAATATATTTGCTGCTCAATTTTCAAGAGAGGTGATGAGGAGACAATTAAAATATGTCATATGATTTATGAATTTCATTTCAGGTAGATACCCATTGATAAAATGGACCTAGAGCATAACTTAAACCTCAAAAGCTAACTCAAGCGGTGAGAATTGCACATCTTATGAGGAGACTGCAATAGACACTCTTACTGATTGTGGATTCTTGCATGCTTACGACTAAACATCTGGACCATGTAGTAACCTAACTGGGTAGCCCAATGTCGGGTAACCCAACATCAGAGAGGGGTCTAACTCTAACACCATGTTGAAAAAATAGACATTGGGCATAATAGACCCCAAAAGCTAGCTCAAGATTGATGAGGATTGCCTAACCATATAAGCAAACTATAACTAATATACTTAACCAATGTGGGACTCTAAGAGCATCAAACTAAGGTTAGAAAGGGGGGGG